CCCCCTATTTTTCCTCGAAAACACTCCGTTTTTTTTGATGCAAAACCCCGAAATGCCACCCCTAAAAGCTCCGTAGGAAGTGCCGCCCGGGGCGGTCCGCCCCCCCCCCGTCGCCCCCGCCTTCCTACGCTACTGGTATAATTAGTGAAGCAAACCGTAAGATATCGCAGAGTAGAGTACAAGGAGATGAAGGCTGGATCTGAGATCCGACAGCTGACACAGCGATAGGGTGTCAAGACAAGGAGAAATCGAGCATTCAAGATAGTGAAGAGTGAATCGGCTAGGGGCATGACTTGGATCCGCCTCACGGGGAACCTTTTTCTCGCAAGCTGCTACTTTTCTCCCAACCGAGACCTTGACTTCCCTCGTCCGATCCGCTAATTTCCAGCCACGGAGAACTGCTGGCAAGGGATGATAATGAATGTGACGAAGATGTGTTGGAGCTTCTAGAGAGAGACCCGGCGTTTGACTCCGACACAAAATGAAGTCGATTCGTCAATTGGCACCAGACTTCTTTTTTCTTGTCCCCTAGGAACGGAATCTCCGCATTGGATTTCATGCGGGCCATAGTATTAGATTGGAATGTCTTCAAGCATTATCAGCGCATTGATCTCTAGCGCTTGAATCGGCCGGGAACACATGTGCGGGGGGTCCAGGAGCTAGAGCTCGCTCTCAGCTTCCCCACGCGACCAAGCTCGACCCCCTACGAGCAACCTGTTCCTGCTTGTTCACTACACAATGTGCCATCCGTATATGCTGTTCCGTTGTACATGTTAATCCGTTTTATGTGATGTTCCGTTCGCATCTCGGTTTGCAATAAAGAGCAGGAACAGCAAACGGAAAAAGACTCGTTCCAGACTCCGTCGAGTTGTTCTTTCGGGGGAATACAATTCCACGGCAGATCATGCAATCAGATGCTTTCGACGAGCACCGATTGATTAAGCATAATGATCATGATCATAATCAAACTTAGGATTATTATCACGATAATAATCAAGCTTAGGATTATGATCATAATTATAATCGAACTCATGATTATGATCATAATTGTTATCAAACTTATGATTATGATCATAATTATAATCAAACTCATGATTTTTACAGTTTTTACAATCATAATTTGAGGAATTTGATGACTACGTCGTAATTTTGAGAGTCCATATCAGTTCCCAACAGGAGAGGCAACATCAGAGTCGGTCGTATCTGACTCCGCATCGCTCGGTCGGTGTCAGCTCAAACACGGTACTGTCGCTTTCGCCCTCAGAGTTTCAAGCTGCTCATTGAGAACGCGACGCGACGTTGTGGCGAGAGAAAATCTCGTAGATAACTCATGCCGCTCGAAAGTCGACTCTAGGAACCAACTCTACCGGACGGAAGCGATCTCCTTCGATTCGCTCGACGGGCACAGGGGTGAATGATCGAAGCTATGGGCTGATCGAAAATATTGAAACCTTCCGGCTGCAGTCATGGGAAGAGCCTAACGACCTGTTGGGGGCTATATTTGAAAGCTTTCCTGAGAGAGGTCGATTGATGGGATGATGCACGTCCGGTTATCATCAGGACACCAGCTAGCCTGGAATGAGGGACCTTGCATATCGAGCCGCGGACAGCTCGCGAATATTTCACAAGCGGACTGGCTCCTGCAGTCGACTCGTCTAATGTTCCCGAAGAGGCAGAATATATTCAAGGGAAGATAAGATATCATCCTCGATCTCTCCTTACTCCCCGGGCACGGATCGGCACAAAACGTCTCACATCCATGAGGACCGTCGTCGGGAAACGTGCTGGTATAGAGTGAGTAGGTCCACGGAGGACTTTCACCTCTGCCCCGCAAGCTCCCGCAATCATGAACTCGAATGTAGTGATCAAGGTGGCTGTATTGCTATATTCGTTCGGCTGTATCTCAGCCAGAACGGACGCTGGACGCAAAACAAGAGAAAAACTCGCAAATGCGCATCGGGGAGTGGAACAGGCCCAACGGAAACTTGCTCGATTCGAAGACGCTAGGACGCGTCTCCAGCCGAAGCGATTCTCGACGATAAATCCAACGGAACTCGCAGCCGCCGCTGAAAGACTCGCTTCGCAGTATGGCGTCAAGCCCGAATCTCTCCTCATTTTGGATCTCACGAGCGTGCTAGCGGCTGGTAGCCTGAGCACTAGATCTAGTCTATTGTCTTTCAGAATTCGAAGAACGGATCGCCGAGAGATTGACGATCTAGTGAGGAACAATCGGTCGATTCATCAGGATGAGTTCTTGGACGTCTTAGCAGCACCTTTAAGGGTCATCGTCCTAATTTCTAGAGAAGCATTTGGCTTCACTCAAGTCACCTTTAACTCGGATCTCGAGCAAAACATTCGTCATAAACTACTGCTCCTGATCATATCAGGCGATGATCGAGCGAAGGCCAGCGAAGGCGTCGCCCCGCAGGTTCGAAAAGCGATGTGGATCGAAAATCAGTTGGTTCTTCCTTCTCACTGCTGGAAGAACTACGATAATTTATTTGTCGAGAGATATCCGGCATCAATGACTGCGTGTGATTCGACTGCTTCTCGATGCTACGTGGAGGACGTCCGTAGCGAGGTCCGGGGTAAGCTGGAGAGATATACTATGAATGTGTATTTCAGCTTGCTATGCAACTCTTCGATCGTCCGAGCATCATTCACGGTGCAGCGAGTAGATCCGAATGAAGAGCCTGAGCTATCTAAGCAAGCCTTCCGATGGGGTGTCATGGAGGTGGAGGCCGATCAATGCTATTCCTTCATCCCATATGCTCCCGTTGGCCTTGCGGGACTGCTGAAAGCCTTCGAGCCGCTCGTTTGGTGTCTCGTCTTCGTGACCACTGTCTTCGTGGCCATTGCTTGGGGTGCAATGACACGGAAATCGAAAGTGGCGATTTCTTGTCACATGGTGTTAAGTTGCATCACAGCCCGAGAAATTGATTTCGCTCCGAAGAGTTACGCCAATGTTCTCATTGGGTGTGTTGGGCTCTCATTCACTTACTTGATCGGGACCCTGAACTCGAACGTCTTCATATCCGCGTTCTTGGATCCTTCGCGCAAGTACAAATCCCCAGGCTATGTGCACGTCTGTGATTGGAGCCCGTCTTGCGCGAGCAGCGATCGAGTAGAGAAAATATTGTCATATATGCCCGTATGTCGAGCCCCTCCTGACTCGGTCGCGACAATCAGCAAACCCTTGACGCCGTTCCTACCCTTTACCGGAGAATCACCGAGGGAGGTTGGGTTTCTTCAAGCCTTAAGATTCTTGCCCCATAAAAACCGCAACTTCCAGCAAATATCCTTGGGATTGCTTCAGAACAGCCAAATTTTAGACCGAGCTATACAGCACGGTGTGCTGACGCGAGGAAGATTCGAACTGGAAGCGGTGATGTGGAGAAGGAGGGAAAATTTACGCCAGGACACCATCAAGGGATTCGGCGACTTTTTCGCTCTTCATGCCATTCTCAAAAACAAGAGCAAATTGACCGTGGAATACCTAGGCTACGGTACAACGGTCGACAAACTTGAAATGAAAAACTTCTGGAAGTTCCAACCGCTATTCATCTTCTGTTTCTTCACCGCGATGAGCGCAGGGTTCTGTGAGCTATGCTGCGCTTCATACCTTTCCCGAGTCTGCGGCGATGCCCGAGGTGGATCTTGCCCGAAACTTCACCGACGTTCTCGATTGAGCCGGATCACTGCAGATCTCCGGCTTCGCCGTCACCGTGACTGCGAGCCCCGGAGCCTCTGGAAATCCAGAGTCGTTCCCTCGCCTCGGAAAACTTCTCATCTTCATACTCCAGCTCTCAACTAAAGAGAGACATAATAAATAATTGGTCGTAGGTAGTATCCCTCAGCTACAGCGCGATGAACGATTCGCTTTTCCCGGGAAAATTATCAAGAACGCTACCGGTCTTCATCCACGGCGCCTCAATCAGAATGAAAGTAGGGTCTCCCATTCATGAGCCATGCATGAATGATCCAAGTAATACAGCGAGTAGATCCGAATGAAGAGCCTGAGCTATCTAAGCAAGCTCCCCGATGGGGTGTCATAGAGATGGAAGCCGATCAATGCCATTCCTACATCCCATACGCTCCCGTCGGCCTTGCGGGACTGCTGCAAGCCTTTGAGCCGCTCGTTTGGTGTCTCGTCTTCGTGACTACTGTCTCCGTGGCCATTGCGGGAACCAGAAAACCTTTGACGTCCATCCGACCGTCTCCCGGAGATTCGCCGAGGGAGGTTGGTCTCCTTCGAGCCATACGCTTGTCGCTCGCCAAAGGCCGCAACACCAAGCAAGCAGACTTGGGTTGGTTCAGAACAGCCGAATTCTAGCTCGAGTTATAGAGTTTATAGAGCACAGTATGCTCACGAGGGGCAGATTCGATCTCGAAGCGGTTATGCACAGGAGGAAGCGAAGTAAAGTCCAAACCGGACCAACGGAATCGACGATGTGAGCGCCTTCCGAGCAATTCTCAAGAACAGGAGCGAATTAGCTATAGCGTACTTAGGCTACGGCACAACGGTCGACAAACTCGACATGAAAGGCTTCTTAAGAATGCAGCCGCTGTTCTTTTCCACGTGTCTGATTGATTTTCGGTGGAGCATTCGAATATTTTTCCCATTTTTCGCCTGGTTCCCGTTCCTCCCATTTCTTCCACGTGTCTGATTGATTTTCGGTGGAGCATTCAAATATTTTTTCCATTTTCGCCTGGTTGCCGTCCTACCCCCATCCACAGCGAAATTCCAAGAATATAGACCTACTCTCCTTCCTCGATAATCTCTTTCTTGGTGGCCTAGCATTGAGCTGTCGGCCGACCTCCGGGCGAGAACTGGAAGCTGTGTTCAGCAGAATGCATCCCGCAGGACGCTCCCGGGGGATCGCCAGACGATCCGCAGCCGTCTCCTACCAGAATATCCCTGAATGCTGCACGTCTATAGCTAATTAGTATACAGCACGGTATGCAGCGCCAGCTAACGCAATGACGACCAGAATATTCAGATGGAAAAGTGTGTAGATTCATTATCTTATTTATTACAAGGTTTATATACAGAGGAGACCAGCCTGGTATTATTCTTGACCAAAGGAATTTCTCATGTTTGTTGATTGAAAGCTTCATCCTCGCGTTTTCTTCTTTCTCCGTGTAACATCCGAAGGCCTACTCATAATAAATTAACCCGGCCGACTCCCAGGAGGAGTTGGAAATTTTACCCACCACTCTCGCGATCGTTCGAACTCGTTTCTGAAAAAATGTTTTACAGTTTTATTTCTAACTTAAATCCTAAGGTGCTTTACAGCTCGTCCTTGGCCGAATCGTCTCCCGCGTCACCGGCTTCGGGTCCAGGGCCTCCGGCTCCCTGGTAGATCTTAGAAACGATCGGATGGACGACCGATTCGAGTTCTTTCTTCTGTGCTTTCAGTTCATCGACTTCAGCGTCGGCGTTGCTGTCGAGCCACTTGATCGCTTTCTCGACGGCTTCTTCGACGGATTTCTTGTCGTCATCGCTGAGTTTGCCTCCGAGCTTCTCCTTGTCACCCAGCTGGGTCTTGAGTGAGTACGCGTACGACTCGAGTTCGTTCTTGGCCTCGACCTTCTCCTTGACACGTTTGTCCTCGTCGGCGAATTTCTCAGCGTCCTTGATCATTTTCTCGATGTCGTCGGGGGTGAGACGGTTGTGGTCGTTCGTGATGGTGATCTTCTCCTTGTTGCCGGTGCCCTTATCTTCGGCGGAAACCTTGAGGATGCCGTTGACATCGATCTCGAAAGTTACCTGTGGAGGCAGACGACCTTTATTTAGAGAGAACATTCATTCACAGTCGTAGCGGACAAGGAAAATTCTTCCCCGATAATCCCTCTCGGCGTCCTATTATCTGACAGCAGTGTATTCCCTGACGCGCGTCCCTAGGGAATCGATTCATGGGGACGCATGCGGCACTGCGAACGGAGTCGAGAAGCGGCAAGTCGGCTAAAAACGAATTCTCAAACAAGTTCCGTATCCGCATCAGCGACCAAGAACGACCCAGTGCTTCCAAGAAAGCAATGTGACAACAATGGAGCAACTAGTGCATGATCCACCGCAGTCAATGACCAGCAACTTCAGGGAGAACGGTATCGACGGTGTGAGCGAAGCTCGTGGACCGGCCGGGCATCGCGAAAGGCGAGTTCGCCGGTACAATAATTAAGACGATATTCGAACTAAAATAATAATGATGATGATGATGGTGAGCGCCAAATCAATTCGAGGAATATCATAATCGAGAGGGACTTACCTCGATTTGAGGGACACCACGAGGTGCAGGAGGAATTCCAGTGAGATCGAACTTTCCGAGTTGATGGTTGTCCTTGGTCAGGGGACGTTCTCCTTCGAAGACCTGGATGGTGACGGTGTGTTGATCATCGGACGCGGTTGAGAACACCTGACTCTTCTTGGTGGGGATGACGGTGTTTCGCGGAATCAGTTTGGTCATGACGCCTCCGACGGTCTCGATACCCATGGTGAGAGGGTTCACGTCGAGCAGCACGAGATCCCCAGTGTCCTCTTCTCCGCCGAGAACTCCGGCTTGGACAGCGGCTCCGAAGGCGACGGCCTCGTCGGGATTTATTCCTCGGGTGGGCTCTTTGCCGTTGAAGAATTCCTTGACGAGTTGTTGGACCTTAGGGATACGAGTGGAGCCTCCGACCAGAACGATCTCGTCGATGTCCTTCTTCTGGAGATCGGCGTCCTCGAGGACTTTCTGCACGGGTTTCAGTGTGCTACGGAAGAGATCCATGTTCAGTTCCTCGAACTTGGCTCGGGTTAGGGTCTCGGAGAAGTCGTCGCTGTCGAAGAACGAGTCGATTTCAATTCTGGCCTGATGAGCCGTGGACAGGGTTCGCTTGGCCTTCTCGACCTCACGTCGGAGTTTCTGTACAGCACGGTTGTCCTTACGGATGTCCTTTCCGGACTTCTTTTTGTACAGCTTCATGAAGTGCTCCATGACTCGTTGATCGAAATCTTCACCTCCAAGATGGGTGTCTCCGTTGGTCGACACGACTTCGAACACGCCATTGTCGATCGTGAGTAGCGACACGTCGAAGGTTCCGCCTCCGAGATCGAACACGAGGATGTTCTTCTCTCCGTCCTTCTTGTCGAGACCGTACGCGATGGCGGCCGCCGTAGGCTCGTTGATGATTCTCATGACATTCAATCCGGCGATGGTTCCGGCGTCCTTGGTGGCCTGACGTTGGGCATCGTTGAAGTAAGCCGGCACGGTGACGACGGCGTGCGTTACGGGCTTCCCGAGGTAGGTCTCGGCGGTTTCCTTCATTTTCGTGAGAACCATGGCGGAGATCTCTTCGGGCGCGAATACCTTGTCTCCTTGGCCGGTGCTGACTTTGATGTGCGGCTTCTTGTTCTTCTCAATAACTTTGAAGGGGAAGTACTTGATGTCGTCCTGAACTGATTTCTCTGACCACTCTCGTCCAATCAGACGTTTGGCATCGAACACAGTGTTCTCGGGGTTGGTGGTGAGCTGATTCTTGGCAGCATCCCCGATTAGCCGTTCTCCTTCAGCGGTGAAGGCAACGTATGACGGCGTGATTCGGTTTCCTTGGTCGTTGGCAATAATTTCCACTCGTCCATTCTTGAAAACACCAACGCACGAGTACGTGGTGCCGAGATCGATACCAATGACTGTTCCGACACTTTCTTTGTCTTTCGCATCGTCTTTCTTGGCCGTGGCCAGGCCCACCAACAGGGCCATCAACAACAACGACAACTTCATGTTGTTACCTGAAATTCGAAAGCCGACTTTGAGCATGGGGTCCGAATTCGAGGCGGAGCTGAACGAGAGAGCAAACACTTCCATCTTCCAGAATTTAATTTCAGAATGGCCGGGGAATATCGCTGACAGGGAACATATCTCCCGCAGGTCAAGGGAGCAGATTAGGAGACTTCACGAGGTCTGCACGTCCGAAACCAAGTTGGACGAATAAGGATTGATGAGCAATAATTAGAACGATCAACGATCATCAAGTCCATTGTTCGTCAATCGGTGACATCTGTAGGCGTGAACAGAAAATTGGATCACAATGCTACGTCAGCATAAGCGAGGCGTTCTCCCACGGAGCCCGAAACGCGAACCTGATCGCTTCCCGTACCGGGTAACGGCTCAGTGATATTCGATCACGGTTCCAACCTCGAATCTTATGCAGTGGGCTGGTAGGTCCACGTCAGCGCCACGTGAATTTCAGAAACCGGTTCACTCACCGTGGACACCAGAGTCGATTATTTAACAATAACCAAGATAGACCGATTCGTTCTGGAAGATTCCTGGAGTTGTCTCTCACTCGGATTAGAGTTCACAATTTCACACTAAATACCAAAGCTCACAACTGACAGCTACGATTCGATTGGATGCTGAGTCGAAGAACTTTTCAGCTGTGTCTCCGTGAGGATTCGTTGGGAAATGATGAAGGCTCCCGCAGCCCACCGTTATAAGCGACGGTAGAGGAGAGGGCAGCGACCCAAGTACACGTCACATAATGGGGCTGGCTGCCTTAGTCCACGTTGCCTCTCGAATTTCCCAGAAGGTCGGGATTGGACGAACCCCATATCGCCACATAATCTCAGGCTAACACCCATGCCTCTCCCACATTTGTGAGAAAGTCGTCAGGCTAGGGCGTCAGCTGCGCTCCGCGATGACAGCTCACGCTAAGCGTCAGGCACCGGCACCCCGATCTCGCGCAAGCTCCAAGCTGTTTGCATCTGGGGTACGCGGATCCCAAAGAGGGTCGAGAGGGAGCTCGCGAGAGAGTCCGAGGTACCTCTCCGATAACCAAATTTCCCATCCTGGACGAAGTTACAACTCATCCTCGACAGCCGGTCGAAGCAGCTCCACGAGGGAAGTAAGTACGGGGAATCGCGAAGAGTTCGCTGAAATCCCAGCGCTCATGAGCGAAAAGGGAAACACTGAGCGAGCCACAGAGAGGAAATCACAGAAAACTCACCTGATGATAGCTGAACTCTCTGAAAAACCAGACTTCTTGAGATGCTCGCGACCGTGAACAGATATAGTGATGCACTATGAAGCGGACAACTCGATAGCTCTTCGGCCGGCTTTCGTGGACGAATCTGATTGGTCGGGAAGCCGAATGACGTCATTGGCGCAGCTGACGGGGAGGTCTTTTTTGACACGCGCGACTTTTCGGGAATTATCGAGAACATTGCGCGAGAGGAACCGCGCGCTGTGCTTCGTTCGGAGCCGGCATCGGATATTTCGCTGACAAGAAAAGATTGACGTGTCTAACGAGGCCGATCGCGTCCCGTGAGAGGGATGTTTTTTTTCAAGCACCGATTGCGTTCGGTCCCAGCACCTAAGGAGTCAGAGTTTTAGACGAAGCGGTATGATTTGGAGCTCGGAACTTTGCGACGAATACGATATTCGACACTTGCGAAAAGTCATGGCATCACTGACATTGTGCAATCCGAGCATGATCTTGACAGCTGCTCCGTCGGAGTGTACGAGAGAGAAAGCTCTCTGGGTCGACAGTAATCAGAGATGTAACGTTTCGTCAGACATCAGACACGCGAGTCGATTCGCAGATGTTCCGAATTCAGCTGGTGTACGGAGCACGGTGAACGGAGAATTCCCTTAGGAGTGTAGTCGGAGATCTCTGTCTTGAGGCAGACACGGACGTATCGCCAGGAATTAAAACCATTAGGAGCCATCACGCATGGCATAAGATCGAGCCCAATCGACGACTTTTCAATGGCAGACAGAACTCTAGAGAATTCAAGAATTCTCCCGAGCCCCGCGATAATCCATCGCTCTAGATCCCAGATCCTCGTGAACATTTCAGGCACATCTCGACGTTTGATGGGGATGACTTGAGGATGGGAAATTCGAACGCAGAGGGGATATTTGGATCACGAAGCGCGTTCATCAGAGAGCTTGATTCATCAAAGCTGCCGAGATCACCCGCTATCTTACATGTGACTGCCAAAAGGTCCTATACCACCTGGCCGACTTTTTGAGAAGGCTCACGCGTCCTTCCCGAATAGTGGTCCTCTCATCCAGGAGCGTCCTCGCTCGTTCTGGCAGCATGAATGAGTGAAAGCTTCCGACTTCGTTCCGAGAATAAGCAACGTGGATTCCATTTATTCACCTGAATGTCATATGTCATATCTATCCTGCACTCCACTGGAGAGGCAATTCGATTCCTCTCGATCATTGTCGCTCCTAGGGTGAATGGCGCCTTGGGCGATTCTTAAGAAAGGCGCCCCCACTTATCTAAGGACCTGAGGTCTAGGCTTGCTCTTCCTGGCAGCAGTTATCGCTCGATGTAGCATGCTGCGGGGGGGCGATTTCATAAGTACCACCTTCTGGACTGTCTTCATCCGAGATCACTCGCGGGCATTCACCTGTCGAATCCTGCATGGCTCGCGGTTTTCTACCGAAGAGAGCATGATGATTGAGCATGATCTATCGATCGACAAAATCATCATGGTCCCCAAACCTCTTCTTCCTTCTGTTCTGTGCGCCACTCAATTTTCGGCGACAGAGCCATCTTCCACGGATACGAGTTCACATCTAGGTACGCGAGTCGAATGCTCCCGATGATTGTTTGAGGCTGCGCTTGTGAACGTGCGCCGATGGTTGAGGTTACAGTGCAAGTTTGTGGAACACGAATCCACAGAAAAGTCACCGCTTGCATCAGACATTAGCAGCGATGGAGCGCGGCGGAACAACCTCATATACAGCTTGACGATTACGAATCTTGCGGGCACAAAACTATGGTAGGAAGGAGCGCCCGGGAAACGATGGCGCCCGGTGCGGTCCGCACACCCCGCCCCCCCCCTCCGGTACGCTACTGCTCTCGATAATTTCACCTCCTCAAGGTCGGACGACATGACTGGACTCAAATTCAACAGCGAGGCCAAGCCTGAGCGGATGGGGCTCGGCACTGGGTTCTGTGAGAGGCTCTAATCCGATCGTACGCGCTCCGATCAATTCGAGGCTATTCCGCATCACTCTGTCGTGTCGACTTGAAGCTGGAATGACTCCCGAACCGCGAACGATATGTTTCTGAGGGTGGGATTCACAATGATGTCGCGGAACAGCTTTGTACGGAAACTCGAAATAAGAGAAATCGATTCAAAGATAGACTACCCTGATCCAATGTGAGGTCAACATCGGACCAGATTGCATCAGCCAGCTTCCAGGCTGACAGAGTTTCAATCGAGAGCTTCAACCCGTGACGCGCATCTCTTCGGGGTGATTTCCCCGTCCCGGTCTTTGTGAGAAATTCCCCGCCCTCCGCGAAGATTCGGGGATTTCAGTATCTATCGATTCGCTGACCCTGGACGCCCGGCTGTAAGGACGAGGTTCTCGAACATCATGTACCAGCCTGTAGAGCCCCTCATCGTGGACTCAGATCGGATATACAGAGAAGTGTGTCCTCCCCTCTACTATGAATGATATTTGGCTATTGTTCGTTGTCGAGAGCGCTCAATCCGTCACCGCGAGAACGTTTAGGGATGCCCGGCGGGCCGCCGCGACGGGCGTTAATAGTGAAAAGTGATACGGGAACTGTGTGAACCAGGAATGAGGTTGCTCTGTTCCTCTACCGGCGGCAAAGTGCGCTGGGAACTCATTCCTCATCCCCACCTGTCAAGTAGAAATTCTCATGCTAGGATGTTTCATCGGGGTACCTCCAAAGCTTTGGGAGTGTCCTCGGAGAATCGACTTGAGCCTCATCCTTCCGCAAAGTCGGAGGCGAATGCTCCCAGGATCGTTTTGCCGCGAATCCCCGAGAATCCCCGGCATATATAAATGGACGATGGAATGACCCTAACCGCGGCCGACAATGGAATTGATTTTAGACTCTCTGCGCTTTCCCGAAAAACCGACGGTAACTTGTACCTGTAATCTTCCCCCGCTTTCCGGTCTAATGACGAAAAGTCCAAGAATTGTAGAAACTGGAAATCAAGTACCGGTCGGAGGCACATGTGCATCCTCGATCTCGCTCTGAAAGATTCCGGCTTTGGCTCGCAGAGCGTGTGCCAATGCGTGAGGAGCGCGCTCCGACGTGAAGCTGTATCGGAAAGTCATCGAAGCTCAGCTCTCGTTCGCCCGGTCGGGGACCGGTATCGATATTATTTCTTGAGGTCGATCCACAGAATGTTACCTGTCTCTCAGAATGTTATCTGGGGCACACTTATGAGCTCGTCGATATATTTTCCGAGAGAAAGAGGAAATCTGGGCTTCCGGGCATCTGATCGATGGTATGTGATGTGTGAAGCTCAAGGATCACAGCATGTTCTCCGCTCTTTCCTCTTTGCGCCTCAGATTCACCATTTGAGATCATCTCCGGGCGTTTCCGATCGAAAGTTGAAGAATCAGTGTATTCACGCGTTCAGCCCCCGTGAGTATTACTCATGTAGCCCTTTTGCACAGCTCTGCAGCCGCTTCTCGAGAGCTGACGGAGGGTCATCGTGGGACAGGGTCACCGCCGCGTTCTTCGAGAACCATGATTATCCTCATATCGTGGAGCATAGTCGCTGCCGCTCGTATTCAGCGATTAGAAATCAATTTCCCCCACGGTTCGACCACTCTTCGTAGAGGAGTTCGCTGTGGATTTCATGCTCCCCCCTCTGAAATGCTCCGGAAAGACTCTGATGCACCAGAATCTCTCGGTAGAATTTGGTTCATTCGTTCGGAAACTGATCAAATCGCCCATGAACGATCCTCATTGAAATTCCGTTGGGGAGCCCTCGCTAGCCTCCAGCCTGCTGACATTTGGGGTTGCTCCTCCTCTTTTGGAAACTGCATAATTTCTGACACCCGATCGCGAACTGCGAGCGAAGTTGGTCATCAGTCCCGATCTCGATCGATCTCTTCAAGCGTTCGATGCCAATCCGACCCGAGACCAGAATACCTACCTAACATATACTCGTCGCGAAAGCCTCCCAACAGCCCCGGCCTTATCCCTTTGTGAAATCCTTGGCGGGAAAAAATGAGGGCCGGCCGAAGGATGACTCAAGCTCAGACCTCTGAGCGCTCGAAATATTCCTCCGGGCGTCCATGAACGTGAATGCGTGTTTCGGTGTTTATTGTGATTATAATGGAGAGGGCACTGGAAAGCATCGTTGACAATGCGCGCTCATCGCACCGAATTTCCGTTCGTCGAGCGAGCAAGCTGCGCCGTCGACTCCACACAATCCCCGCGGCTGCGAGAGCTTGACCGGAACCAGATCCCAATCAAATTTGAGCTCACAATTCGCGTAATCCCTTCGTCCGATAGTGGCGTCAACGCGCGGGCGAAACGGAAGCCCCTGATCTGTCGGCGAGGATTCGAAAAATGGCGCCGCTCTCCATCCGGGGGTTGTTTTGTTGGTGCTGCTAGTCGAGAAAGAATACAGCAGCGGCGTACGCGGAGACTGTATAGCTGACACCAGTCGGAGGCAAGCAGGCTGGATGGATCGCTTGCTCCACCGAGCCCGTCCGTGTGTTCGTTGCGAACAGTTGATCCCCTGGTAGTTAAGCGATTCCGACCAGACTCGGGCAGCCACCATCCGGAAGGACTGCAGGTGGCTGCTGCTGGAGTGGTGTGCGTGAATAGTGTCCTCGGTGAGCTTCTATGACCGGAGGAGGCAAGACTTCATACCTTCGCGGCAAGGTGAGAACCATGGACAAGCTCCAGACTGGTTATGAGCTGGGGGGAACTTGATCTGTCTCCGCGCTCGCCGTGCGTGGGCGCGAGCTCACGTCAGACGTTAATCCCTTAGCGCATCGTCTGCTTCCTTGATTGAGCGAATTTATCCGTATGTATCCCATTCCGTTCGGTTCGTTGGCATAAACAAAACCGAGGAACAATTTGGCGGATTGGTCGGCTGACCCACAGCCCGCCAGCCAGCTGAACGAGAGACAACTAGTAATGACACGTAGGGGAATCGCGAAATTCGAGGGTTGTGACATCGCGAGCTAATGACGGCCTCCCGTGCAAACGAAGAAAATTGAAGACCAACATCAATACGAGCCCGGTCGGCACCATGTAGAAAGATGGAATTACAAATGCGACATCCGACC